AAAAAAAAAAAAAAAAAAAAAACTATTGTTTTTTCATTTGAATTTATTAGGAATTAGAGCATGTCTCTTTCTAGTGAGGGCCATTGTGTCCTAAATGGGTATTCATTATATTATCTTACGGAGTGCTATTCTCCTAAAGAAACCAAAGAAGCCCAATCCATATTACAGGCCCATATGGTGAGGTTCAAGTGTATTAGACTTCTTAAACCTAGATTAGAGAGGTTGCAAATGTCGATGGATTCGATGCTACAGGTGGGGGCATGTGCAGTCATGTTCCCACCACCCTTGATTTCACACACACTCATGTGAGTATGTGTGTATGTGTGTATAAATCAAGACTGATGGGGGTATGACTGCACTGCCCCCACCTGTAGCATCGAATCCTCCGCAAATGTTATCGTTGTTTGGTGAATTCCATAAGTTAATTTACATCAAATTCTGTTGGTTTATAATTTTTTTTTATTTAAATAAATTTTATTTCGACACATTTTCTCATATGCTTCGTATCTTTAAAAAAAAAAGATTATGTTTTTTGTTTCAACAGACTTATCAAATAATTTTATTAAACGTTTTTTATCACATTAACTAATTTTTCAACTATTAGCTACAAACTAGAAGATCTTGGTTAAAAATTATTTATGAGTTAAAGTCAAGTTTTTGTGAAGAAAAAAAAAATAAAAAAAAAATGTGTAAGTTATTTAATATACTTTATTCTAATACTCTTCTTATCCATCTTATGATTGGCAATTTGGCATAGCTCTTGGGAGCTGTCTATATATTGTAATTACTGAATATTTTAATCATCTATATATATTAAAAGCCAACCTATTTACAAAAAATAGTAGCAAGAAAAGTCAACACACATTTAATGCATACCTTATTTGGAAATTTTTTACTATATACATTAAATGCTTGCATATATACATTTACTATCCAAATATGACCTTAATGATTTTTTCCTTAATAATTTTATTAATTTATGCAATGATTTTACTGATATCCATTATAATTAATATTTGTCGAGCAATATTTTTTAACCTTTATTTAATCATATAAACTAATATTTTTTTAAAAAATTAATATTATTTATCATTTAAAAGATAGTGATCACATCATTAAATGATTTTATTGATGACTAGATAATAAAATTATATTAGTTATTCTTTAAAATTTTGACATGTTATTTATTTATATATTATTATCAACTATGATAGTATTTTTATCACTTTTTTTTGTTGTTATGTTTCAAAAATAAACTTATTGTAAAATATTTTTCTATTGCATAGTATGTTAAATAAACTATAAAGCCTTAGGATGAAAATTAGAAAAAAAAATCTATTGATTATGTAAGGGATTTATTTTTTGGCAATTGCTAAATCATTTTTTTTTCAACAAAAAAACATTATTATGAGAAAATTGAATTCTAAAAAATATGTGTGTGTATTTTGTAAATATTTATACTCAAAATTTTATTTTGAATTTCATTACATAAAGAAGACTACTTCTATAATTTTTATAAATAATAATAATGACATTATATGACTATAAATTTTATAATAAAATAATAATTGAGTATTATATGGTGAACAAGAATAAATAATTTTTTTGTTTTTCTTATATCAATGAATAAATATGTATTCTAAAATCAAATAAATATTAGTATGACGTGTTAGCGGCAATATATATTAATTAACATGTTAATTTTTTGCTTAAATAAACGCCATTTATTAAAAGATGTGAAATATGGATGATCCAAGCCTATTGTTTTTTTGTCTAGACGTACAAGTCCTATAGAAATAATTGATTTATTATATATATCACGTGCATCGCACGGGGTATGCACTAGTTATATTTAAAGCAAATACACATTACACCTATACAAACACGCGAATGAAGACATGGCCAAATAATGGGCTGGGCACGGGTCCGACCTGACCCAACGGGTCTCCGGGTCCAAAATGACCGACCGAAATTGGCGCTCACCTAGGTATGTGTCTGGTCTGTGATGGGCCCGTGCCCCAGCGAGTCTCCAGGTTCAAAATGACCGACCAAAACTAGCGCTCACCTAGGTATGTGTCTGGTCTGTGACGGGCCCGTGCCCCAGCAGGTCTCCGGGTCCAAAATGACCGACCGAAACTAACGCTCACCTAGGTATGTGTCTGGTCTGTGACTCGATGGTTTGGGTCGGGTCAGTGATCGGGCGGTTCCGGGTTAGGTTGGCCGCTTTGAAAAAAAAATGACTTGAGCTTAGTTGATTTATTATAAGTTAAAATATCAATTACGCTGAAAAATTTTTAGGGTTAAAAATGATATTAACTTAGAATATGTCAATTAAGTTGTCTATGTATCTTTTATCTGGGGAGTCAAAGTCCTCGTAGTTCTCTTTTTTTTACTTGCCTGGCAGGATGCACTGTCGAACCGACCGTAGTCGTAGTTGTAGGTCTGATAGTCGTCTTCAATTCAGTAACACTAGTGAAATTGGAACAATCATCTTCCATATCCTCTTTGGTAGTTGTTGACCTCCAAGCCTGAAAGGGCCCACTCTGGAATCTAGGGTGAAGAAAATGTAAGATTTGGTCGAACAAAGTGAAGGAGGAGGACGAACCAACTCCGCTAGAACGCGACCTCAGACTAGGAATAACAGAAACCAGGGGAGCCCTGGTGTGTCCAGGTAGAAATTAAACAAAAAAAAAAAGAAAGAAAAATGAGAAAAGAGGAGAGACCACGGCTGGAGGTGGTGTGTTTTGGGGGATAGGCAACCAAGTGGTGTGTTCTACTTAATGATTCATCTTTTTTTTTTTTTAATAATTTTTAAACTAATATATCTTTTATATAATAAAATAAAAAAAATAAATAAATATACCAAAATTCATAATTTTTAATTCTCTACAAATAGAGACCAATTTTGTTATACTTATTTTTTATTTTTAAATTGACATAAATATATAGTTTTTAAATTTCGTATGTTTTTTATATAATAAAATATAAATATAACAAAATTCGTAATTTTTAAGTATGTATGAATATATATACTAATTATGTTGTATTTGTTTATTATTTTTAAATTAAAATAAATATGTTAAATCATATTACATAAATCCCCATCACTTCTCACAAAAGAAATCAATCTGAGCCGTTTGTTAAAAGCACAATCTTCATCAATTTGATTTTCACCGTTCATCACTAAAGCAATTAATCTGGTTTATTCTTTCAAAAAGCACAATCCATGTCAAATTGACCCCTAGCATTTATAAATACAACACACCAGAATTTTGTATCATCAAATCACCACAATCAAAACTTTCTTCTTATCCGAATTTTCATTTCCACCAAAACTTTGCAAAAGATGTCATCAGATGAAAACTTTGATGAATGGAATGAAGACCTTACACTTCAAAATCTTCAAATTGACTCACAAATGGA